AGATGTGGCCCAGTTTTGAAGTAATGCCAGCTGCTGTGGGGCCTTGGCTCCTCTTTTGGAAGTTCTGGATCTTTCTGACCCAGCTTCAGTTTGTTAGGTAATTTTCAGATTGCAATGGGCTAGGCCTTTCATATGCAAAAGCCTCTGTGCACAGTTTGGTTGGGGCGGGGACTCAGGGGATCAATAGGGCTGAGCAAGCATCTATGGCTGCTCTTCAGTCCTACCCTAAGATGCCCCATGTCTCAGTGTCCTCGTAATATCCCCAAGCATCTCTGAGAGAAAGCCGCCCTTGAGTTCCAAGTTCTGACCGATGCCAGACAGTCCAGTTTCTCCCTGTATGAATCTAGGTCCTCAGAGACTCACCGGGAACTGGAGTTCAGAGCAGTCAGGGGCTTGTGACTCCCTCCTAATTGAAAAAGACAGCCACATCCTCAGCTGCCAGCCCTTTCCGTGCTCGGCCCTCTGCACTTTACTTCTGCACCTCCTCAGTGTGCTTTTCTCTTTCCTTCTAGTTGTAGAATTTCCACTCAGCCAGCCATCCTGTGGTTCTGGATGATGTCCATTTTGTCTTTTAGTTGTATTTTTGAACTTGTTGTGGGAGGCAGCAATTTCTGTTGTTTACCTATGCCGCCATCTTGGTTTCTCCCATTTGCAGTACTTTTAAGCAGTGATTGTTAGCAATATTGTTGCTTCAGAATTTGCTGGTATTTTTTTCACAGTGTTCAGACTGTTACAGAAGACCAAATAAATACCAAGCACGCTTCCTAGAAAAAGGGAGGGACCCCGTTTATTAACGCTAGTGGACTCCGGGAATAATTTCCAAATCAGAGTGATGAAACATGCAGAGAGCCTGTCTATATATATCCCACTGGGGTCTTTGTCTTGCAGATATGCCCCCTGCCCCCTTCATGGCCCTGTAGCGGAGGCCCCCAGGTGCCAGGCCATATCTATGGTCCATCCTGGCACCAGCATAACAACCCCCGCCCCCCACCACCACCCAGGGCAGTGCATTGTTCACAGTTCTATGGCCTGACCTGCCTTGCAAGACCAGTTTCCTCCTCACACATACTGTTCCCTCCGGTGCCCAGCAGGGGAGAAGCATGCCTTTCCCTAACTCGGGTGCTAAACTCAGCCTGGGCCAGAGGCTTGGGGAGGAAGCTACAGGAAGAAAAGGATAGAGAAGAAAGATGGGCAGAGAGAAGGAGACGCCTAAGGGTTGACAAAAGCCACAACATGAAGCTAAGCCGCAGGCCGTCCGGTGCAGATCTCTACTCACTTTATGCAGGTGTGTGAGGGTCAGGACGGGCATTTGGGACGTGGAGGTCACAAAGTGAAAAACGATCCTTACGATCCTGGACCTGCTTTGGGGGAAATCCCTGTTCGAGCCTGTTAGCGGAGAATAAAAGAGGAGGATTTACACATCTCAGCCTCTGTGTCTCCCCACCCCACCAATCGCTCTCCCACATCTCCCCAAGCAGTGCTTCAGCGAGACCCAAGGAGCTTCTCAGTTGCCATGGAAACGGCAAGGCCGCCTCTACTAGGAAGTAAGAATGGAAGAAGCTGAGTCTAGGACTTCCTCAGGCGGCCGGGGAGCAAGTTGTCCACTCACCCTTTGCCTGAGTCCAGGATTGCTCTGGGGGATAGGAACAGCCCTGAGGTTCTCCACATCCTCAGCCTGGCTCACTGGTTACCACCCTTCCACCCCAGCTAGGTCCCAAGTCCATCACGTGGGGCAAGCCAGTGCCCCTCTGTGAGCTTGACCCCTTTTGTGAGACAGTCATTCCGAAATAGGTACTGAACTAGAACAGGAACAAGAAAGGGGGTGCCCTGATGACACAGCACCATTGCTGTCCATAGCAAAGTCACATTGGGACATCAGTGGACGAATGCGGAGAGAGAACCCACAGGGGTGCTTGACCTGCCCATCTTCCCCTAGGGTTCAAGGCCAGCCGTGGCGGATACCAGCACCAGACTCATCCCCTTTCTACCACACCTATCAACAGTAGAGGGAATCCGGGTCTGAGGGTTAATTTTACAAGGGAGTCCCGGAAAGTCTAGGAGGAAGATGGGGAATCACACTGAGAGCAGAAACACTAAAAAGGAAGAGACAAGAATGG